CGCCCAAAAACACAACACAATGTCCCCGGCCAGGGCTCGAACCCAGACCGCTCGATCCGGAGACGAGTGCACTAACCATGAGGCCACCACGCCTCCCCAATCCATACTGTAGAGCTGTTTATTTTTTTCTTCTGAGAACGAAGATGTTACACCTCTATAGTTGAGTGTGAGGGGTCTTTGTTTTATTAGGTGAGATGAAACCTATTAATCCCAGGTTTCCACTGGGGCTTAGCCAATCACTCAGTGTAAAATGCAGACTGCAGACTGCAGACTGGGGTTACAAAATACAGACTGAGGGTAAAATGCAGACTACACACCAACGGTGAAATATCGTGGTATTTCCATTACATGTATCAAGTGGAAACCTGAAACAGGGTTATTCAGGCTTATCAGAGTGAAAGTCTGCGCTCCAGTTAGCCTGAATAGTGTACCAGCCTCTGGTTAACCTGAATATCACTCAGGTTAGCCTGAATTTTGCTCCTGTTACCCTGTTTATTGGCTCTCAATGAAGCACATGGGAACATGCAGTCTGCATTTTACCCTGGTCTGCAATCTGTATTTTCCCCCTGGTCTGAAATCTGCATTATTGCCTCAGTCTGCACTTTATCCCAGGTCCGCAGTCTGCAGTCCGCAGTCTGCGTTTCACACTGACCGTTTAGCCAATTATAAATTTAATTATTGTAAGTTATTGTACCATAAATTTAGAATCTTTACAATTTTGAAACATCACATTAAGTAAGCGTTCGCGATTTGCCAGAGTAAAGGTAACTTTACTAACACCTTTTAACAATATTCGTTTAATGGCACTTCATGACAACCTTCCTGAACGGTGAGTAAATGAGCAAAGTGCAAATACAGGACATCTTACATGTATGTGTTCGTTGAACGCGTAAAAAGTTCACAGGATCTTTATTTATAGACTTCAAAGCCATGGGAAATCCAAAATCATTATGTCAACAACAAATTAGATAAAGAAAACAACAGAAATCTGATTTAATTTGAGTCACTAAATGTCGACCTCTTACAAGCTCTATGCTTGATAGCTCACCTTCAAAATCGTTTCTGACGCATTTTCCAGCCGCCCTGGAAACTTCTGCTGCGACTAGTACGGACAGAAAAATCCAGGCAATCATCTTCCCTCGTTCATAATTGTGAAATCGAATCCTTTCCCTTCAAATTGTCATTATTTATATTTAAGGCAGCTGTTCACATACATAGCGCTGCCTACGAGGGAAAGGACTGTTTTGTTTTGGCCGAGCGGCTCGGGCAAGCAACTGGAATGGGTACTAGTTGATCTAATAAGGCTAGGATCCTAAGTCCACACGTGGTTTCAATATGGCGGACCATCTCGACCTTGATGTCTAAGAAATTTTGGGTCATTTTCTGGTGCTTTTCAAAGTAAATGAATTAGGATGAAAGACAAGAAGGCCAAGAAGCAGGTTAAGGTAGCATCTGCGCTCGATGAGCAAACCTTTGGCTACTTCAAGAGGGTGGAAGATGTGATAAACGAGGACGATTTTGAGGACGAAGAAAGTCGAAAGCTCTTCGTTGAAAACGTGTTCACACAAGTGGAAAACAACGAAGTGAAGCTTTTCTGTGATTTGATTGTAAGCAGAACTATGGAAAAGCTTATTGTTTATTTAAGTGATGTTCAGATCCGCAAAGTGATGCAGAATGTAGAAGATCATTTCTGCAAAATCGCCATGGATAAATTCGGTAGTCACGTGTTGCAATCTCTGGTTTGTGTCATTCCAAAGGCAATAAGATCGGAACGCAGTAAAGTCAGGGAAATTGATCACGACGTTGAAGACTTAAAAAGTGCAGAGGAGCTCTTTTTGAGCCTGTGCGACTGTCTTAAAGAGAACTTATCAGAACTTGTTAACCATATTTATGGGAGCCATGTTGTAAGGGCAGCAATCGAGGTGCTGGGAGGTGTGAAAGTTGCAGACAATGTTGTTCGTAGTCGAGCCTCTCGGCAGAGTAGAGAAAGAAGTAATCAGTCAGATGAGAAAAAGCAATTCATCAAGCTAACTCAAGGTATTCATTATCATTTGAAACTAAGAGAATTTAACTGATAGCTACATGTACTTGCCACTTCATGGTTACATATATCTACCTAGTGGGGTTGGTTTCGCTACCTGTTGAGTTTGCTATGTTCAAGTTCACTACGCGTTCGCTAACCACATCTTCCAGTTTGCTACCTATTTAATTCGCATTTGCTACTATTGACAAACAGGAGCCCATCACTAGGAGCATGCAACTCCTATAGTAAGCCTATGTAGCATTTTTACAGACCAGTCTATTTTTAGACTTCTTTTCCCACAAAATAGGTTTCGGTCTACACGGGCGCACATTGGCAAGGGAAAAAAATTGCTTTTCTTTTCATCTTCCAGTGAAATGATGATCTCAGTTAAAAATTAAGTCCATGCTTGTGATTGGTCACTGAGGTTCCTTCGGGGGTCTGAATTGACAGTAAATTCTAACTAAAAACAGATTGGTCTGTGAAAACTCTGTGACAGGAATATGGGGTAGTTGCACGCTCCTAGTGTTGGGCTCCTGCAACAAACTAAAGCTTCACAAAACAAAAATATATAGACCTAAAACTTAATGCATATATAGATTATTCCTCCTTCTTTTGACCACTGCCGGGTCAAACTTGGTTAGCTGAGGAAGCGGACTAGGCCTTTGGTTAGAGAACATGAAGCAAACTTGAGCATAGCGAACTCAACAAGTAGGGAAACTGGCGTGAACCATTACTGGCCATGAAGGCAAAGGTGCATAGTAACTAGATGCTGTCACAGGTGAATCCACCTGTGACAGAAGTTTAGAGGGGGTATAAGGACAAGTCCCTATTTGGTGTGAAGGCTTGTTCATGATTTATACTAAATATTTTGAAAAACTACATGTGCATGGCTAATACATTCTCATGCCCGTCACATGATTCACATGACTCAGTCACATCCATCATTCCGAAAAAGTAAAGTTAAAGTTAAATTATGATGGAATGGACAAACATTTTTCTGGATCCACCCCTGTTTCTAAATAGTTTTTTTTTGAAATGGGATCTAAAATTGATATTGTAGTTATGCAAGGTGTATCCATGTGATTTAGTGTGTCTTTAGAATCTATTCCCGACTGCCATTTCTGACGTTACCGTATTCTTTCTTTTTTAACCAGTGGGAAATGCTTTTGGAGCAAATGCTATCAAACCCATGGAGACCGTTGCAGTTCCAGAGAGTTTTCCACCAATTCTGAAAAAACTCACCAAGGTCATAATGAAAATGGAGCTGCAAAAGTTATCTCTTCATCCAGTCAGTAACCCCCTTCTGCAGACGCTCCTGTTGGTTTTGCACAGGAAGGATCAGTCTTTATGTATGAAGTTGTGCAAGGCAGTCATGTCACAAATTGACATGTTCAGTAGTAAGAGAGGAAAGATCAAAGGTCCAAGGGAATCGAAGGAATTAGGTGAAGTTGATGAAGGTGTAAAAGAACAAGAAAGGTGGGTGTGTTCTCAAAATATAAAGATTTTCTTTGAAAATGCTTTTACGATACATTACTGTCACAGCCTGTCCGAGGAGGAGAGGTTGGCTTGGGGCTAACAAACCTTGCGCTATAAGTCAGAACACAAGTTGTGCTATACTGTGTTTAGAAACAGCAGCAGATGAATTTTCTAATACCAGCTGGGCAAATGAAGTGTGAAGACTTACGCTGTAGACATTAGTAAGACCTGATGTAACTACAGATGACTTTAACTCAGCAGCCAAGCTCCTTACACCAACTTAAGTATCTATGACATAATAAAACGCTTTGACTTTACTGAGAACTGTTTTTTTTCTTCCTTCCAGAATTTCAAATCTTGTAAGACATATAAAATTACCTATTACTCTCATTGTAACTTTGCAAAGTGACATTTCACATTGATTTACATGAAGAGGGTGAATGGACAGTCGGACGGACGGACTTAATTTACACCTGAAATTCAGTTAAAGCAAGTTAGAAAACGTTAACCCAGGTTCAACTTTACAATACAAAATTGTTTTCAGCAACTACCGAGTTCCTGTTCTTCTTGCCAATGAGATCAGCAGTCACCTAACAGAAAAAATTCTGCATGTTGTTACACCAGAGCTTTGGCAGGAGATCTACAACTCTTACTTCAGTGACCACTTGGTTCAGTTGTCTAATCATCCTATTGCTAACTTTATTGTACAGCATCTGATGGCAAGTACTAGAGAGAAATCACAGGTTGGCAAATAGTGATTCGTTTGTTCTTGTGTACCATTTATGAGAGACCTGAGACATTTCCATCCCACAAGCATGATTGATCAATTAAAAGCTAAAATGAAGACAATAATTTTCATCGCTTACAGTACTACTTTCTCAAATTTTACCCCAAAAAACTTCAGTTGCCCAAAGTATAGAATCCACCAGCCTGAACCCAAAATCTACCAGCCCCAGGTTATGGGAAACAACCATGCTATTATTACCATTAAGAAGTTCCAGAAAATACCCATATTCCCCCTCCCCCTCCCCCTCCCCCCACAGAAGGGATTGGAAATTCCTGGGGAGATGGGGAGTTCTCTAAGAACAAAAAATGTAAAGAAATGTTTGAAGCTTAATTGAAATTTTGAGAGAGGTGGGGGCTCTTGGACAAAATCCCTTCTGTGGGGCAGGTATGGATATTTTCTGGAACTACACATTGTAACTTTGTGAGGTAAATAAATAAATTAGAATGCAAACACCTGTGTACTAACCGTAATTTAAACTCCTAAATTCAACATGGTCTCTCTTCATTGTGACTCATTAATTTTAGGCAGAACAGATGATTGCTGAGTTGCTGCCATATTTGGAGGATCTCCTTGCACTGGGGCATATGGGTGTTGTGGTCAGAATGGCAGAAGTTGCAGTCCGGTTTGTGATAAAGCAAAAAAAGATGTTAAAAGCTTTGTTACGAGCATTCCACTGTGAAGGAAAAGTTGAACGAAGCAGCGCTGTTGTACTGATATCCTCATTAACAACATATGAAATTTTCTATGGAACAAAGCCAGAGCCAGATGAAAAAGAAAAAGATAGTGAAGAAAACAGTAACTCTGTGGTGAGTTTAGCAATACTTTCAGTAAGACAAGGCACCTGTGGGAGAGCCACAGGTATTCTTTTGTGGATGGCCAGAAATAGTGCTAAACAGATTTCAAAAATTAACCCTGGACTCTTATTGCTATCTGATGGGTAGTGCCCAACCACCTACATGTACTTCAAATCATATTTAAAGCAGGGCTGTCTATAAGGGCCGTAACCCGCACCTGTTATGGCGGAGCATGCTTGATGGGCCCTTGATGTTATGGGTAAACTTACCTGTAAATGATATAATGTACAATTCATCCATAAAGTAACATGTTTGTTACTGTAGTGAAGATCACGGCTACAGGTGAATCAAAACTTTGTGACAGCCCTGAAAGGAACTGGTTAAGAACCAAGTGAAGCATAGATTATATGCCTTTTCACATGAAAGTTTTTGTTTATGATGTCTTGTTTTTCTTCTTAACTTTCTTGGCAAGTCAAAACAGAAAAGTATATTAAACAGAGGCTACATGTATTTGGCAAACATTTTTATCAAATTACATTGATATTGTGGCCATATCACTAGCCTGTGTAGCTTGGCAGTTTTTAAGCAATTTGAGTGCACTAAGAAAGCGGCAAAGCCACGATGACAAGCTGGGAGCCTGCGAGAGAGACAACTGAGACAACTTCACCGCTCGTTTTTGTGGCTTTGCCACTATGTGCACTCACCCTCAAATTCCTTAAAAAATTGCTTAAACCGCCAAGCTACACAGGCTACCATATCACCTGTCATCTTCAATCCTGACTGGTTCCACATATTTTCCTGTGCTTTGCATCAGCTGCATGCATTTGCTTGGAGTCTTAATTGGTTTGCTGAAGTTATCCGTGTCCTGTTTGGTTAGCTAGAGTGATTACTTTGGTTTGGTTTTACAACACTCAATTGAAAGCCACTCTAATGTAGATGTTAATAGCAATGTATTTTTATCTTTTTAGGAAGCATCCCCACCCACTGCAAAACTTAAATCCATCAACTTCCATGGAGCCCTCTTGCTGAAGACATTGTTTGACTTTGAAGACCCAAGCAAGTTGGTCAAGAGCTTGCTCAGTCTGTCACTGGAAGACCTTGTGACCCTTGCTAATGACCCAATGGGTTCATATGCTATTGAAGCTTTCTTGAAGAGCAGATCGGTGCCATCAGAGAAGAAACACATGCTTATTGAGTATTTAAAGGTACAGCTTCTGTCATGAGAGTTATATGAAAAATGATTGAAAACCATTTTCTCTGTATAGTTTTGAGGCACTGTCAGCCAGTTGATGGGAATGCATATAAAAGAATGCTGTCAGCTTTGTCTGTTTTTCTGTTGCATGCATTGGGAATGGTAAACATTTGTTGGATCCTAGGAAAAGAGGCTGACTACAATCAGTCTAAGGTCTTGCTGCCATGATAAACCACCAAATTCTCAAAATCTTTACGGACTAAAGTGCAGAGAAATAACATTTTGATCTTCAGACTGAAGGTCCAGTTAGTGTTTACCATGGGTGTCAGACTTGCAACAAATATTTTTAGATTGTTACTGTATTACTTTGTAATCCCTCCTAAATTTGAAATAGTCTACTTTTGTGTGAAAAACCATTTTAAAGACTTTGCAAAGAATAACAAGAAGTGCTTCCACTATAATTTTAAAATTGTTTATTTTTTTTTTCAAGAGGGCAGGTAACAAATTTTGTAAGCTGATTTGTTTTTAATACATCCTGGATTTTCCGATCTCTTCCCACATTCACGGTAACGCTTTCGTGAGTTTAAAAAAAATGAACTGATCTGAGAGAGAGGAAAAAAATAAGTATTAAGTCATTTACCTCCCTAGGGTTGGTCCGTAAATAGAGAGACTGAATACTTACAGGGCTACATGAAGGCAGTACAGTACAGTACAGGCAGAAAAACACTACTGAAAATTTCCAGACTTTTTTGGGACACATTTGGAATTTCTATAACTTACGCCCGTCTCTTATTGCTTCCAGCTTAAAATATACGTCTTGATTTTTCAGGGGACCTTTGCAAAACTTGCATGCGAGAAACAAGGTAGCCATGTTGTGGAAACGTGTTGGAGACAAGCAGAAGTCAAACACAAGGAAGACATTACACAGGAATTGGCTCTCAGTGAGCAACAACTAACTAGCAACTTTTATGGCAGAATTGTGTTGAAAAATTGCGGTGTCGAGCATTTTAAAAGAAAGGACAATACATGGCATGAAAAGGAACAGAGAGCAGCCAGGAAAAGAAAGCTACTGGAGGAGATTTTAGAAGAGAGAGAAGACAGTGCAAAACAGAACAAGAAAGCTAAGGTAAAGGACGACCGCAAGTTTTCAAAGCTTGCTCCTGAAATGGCCGCTTTGGGTTTCACTGCAAGTGGAAAACATGCTGCTGATTCTGAAGGGGTAAGGACTGCTCAGGCGAAAAAAATCTATGATATACCCTCAACTGAAACACCATCCATTTTATTTCGATTTCACGAAAAATGTTTACGTGAAAAGTAACGAAACTATAATTCTCTTTTTCTGGTGAAACAAAACTGTGTAAACTTGAAGAAACTACGTCACGGTTTGCGCATCTTGAAATTTTTAGCCTAGATTTTTCAAGTTCGTGGTTTGTAATCCGTGTTAATCTTCTCCATCCTTAACGATCCTTGTTCCTTTATGGTTTAAAATTATCCCTTTGGTGTTTTTCTATCTTAGTAGACTATTATTTTCAGGTTCCCTACAAAATTGTAGTTTTACGCTTTACTGGACCAATGGCTGGCTAAAGGGTCTCCATCGTCACTCCATGAAGTTTTTTTTTTTTTTGACACTTGTTGGTTTTCCCATTGTTTGACCAATCAAAAAGCGAGGTAATCTGGAGAGCGGGTTAAGACTCGATAGCCACGTGCCGTTAATTGCACATACGAATCTTAGACGTTTGATTGGTTGAGAAGTTTGGAAACCCAACAGAAAGATGAAGAAAACCCTGACTTAACGTGCGAGCCTGGCACGATACATTTCATTGGGTTCTTCTGAGTTGACGAAGCGCTTTTTTTTCATATTAATAGCTTTTGCTAATACCAGGAAGTAGTCCATGTAGCAAACTAGAAAATAGAAAGAGAAACAAAAAGATATAACGTGACATTGGAGTAACACTGGATATAACTTTAGCAATGGAAGTTGATGTTTAATTTTATTTTAATTTTGTTTTTTCAGGAATCTGATAGTGATGGCGCTAAGGAGTCAGTTCCTGCTCTGTTTGAAAACAAAAAGAAACAGAAACAGTCTGGACACAAAAAGAGCAAAACGAAGAAAAGCGAATACAACGATTCAAGTGAAAATGACAATGTTGCTGAGTTAGAATTCATTACGGACGCCATCAAAGCCACAAAGGCTGAGAAAATGTCTAAAAAACAACAGAAAAAGAAGAAGCAAACATAGCACAGCTGCGGTCTTGAGTAGAAACCAAAAAGAGTTTAGACAAGTTTGCGATAAACGATATTTGACCACAAATGCAATATATATAAAACCTTTGATCCTTCCACTTTTAGGACTTGACTTTGAATCGCGAAACCCACCCAAACTTCGTCTTAGGTCGAAACGAGAAATCTATCTTTCTTGTAACTGAGTGACCGAAGTTGTGATACTCGGAATTTTCTCTCATTAACACTGCTCGCTCAAACAATTTTGGAAAGTGGAATTTTGAAGGAAAAGTCACCTACTCACTGTTGTGTGGATTTGTTTTCATAATGGTGGTGTTCATGTTGTTGCAGTTGTTGTTGTTGCTGCTGCTTTAATTCAAGCCCTAGTATTTTAACAACCTTAACACAACAAAGCTTTGTAATATTATCGACATAGTGGATACAAGCAATTTCTCCTTGGTGGAGAGTACAGAAATTTGAGTGTGTCAAAAAGCAAATAATAGAAAGTCATTAGTTTCCGAAGAAACTTTTACCCTGCACCAATCGCCGATTGGTGCAGTAAAGTGATGCGATACATGTCCCTACAGCCTCGGTATTTTTAAAAGCTGAAGTTTCGATAGTGTTTCCCTTCGTAGGATCTCGCAGCAAATCGTAAGAGTTGACGCAGATTGGCGCTCGACGCGACGCGTCAATTTTCTGAGGTGCTCACTGAATAAGTTACCTCAATTTAAGTTTTGTCGTGAAATCCCGCTTGTTTTTCAAAAGGAGACTTGTTATGGTAAGTATTTTCGTGTTCATAGCGTAATGGACTGCTTTTTCAGCGATTGTGGTTTTAATTATTCTGTCAGTTCAGGCCTCGGTTGTTTGGAGGCTGGATAACGCTATCCACCGGATGAATCACCATCCAGCGGATAAGTGTTAACAAAACAAACCACGCTATCCGCTAGATAGTGATTTATCCGGCGGAAAGCGTTATCTACTTTTCGAACAACCAGAGCCTGAACAATAAAAACTGGACAAAAGCACTTGAACTATTTAACAATAAGATTATGAGCCCGAGATTTCTATGAGGTGATAGTTGGTAAGGCTGGAATCCCAATCACCTCATGGAAATCGCGAGAGCGAATAATCTTCTTGTTTTAGTAGAATTCTAACTAAATTTCTTTAAAATTAGCGATTTCCATTGGCGGATTGAATTGTTGTTTGAAGCTCGTCTTTGTTTGTACGCGTTCATCAGTTCATTGAAAAGTTTGGAAGTTTTAAAAGTCGCATGACGGTCAATTATCTGTACTGAATTATCTTGTCATATTTTTAAATTTAACTCGAAACAGTGGAGAAACGCGAAAGCATTACAGTATGTGGACCACCGCCAGCCACTGGCCACTCACCAATGGCTGATAATGTATGAGTACCTCAGCCAATCAGATTGCAACATTTGCATTAGTATATCGGTAGAATTCTATTTATGTTTTTTATTTAACACTCTGCTTGCAATCTTCCCAGGCTCAAGCAATAACAGGGAAGGATAAGATAAATTTCCATTGAGCCATTGGAAGCCTGCTGTTTGGAATGACTCACGTTATCTCGAGGTAACTGAGTCAGTATTCCAGAAGGAAGTCAGGCTAGTCATCTAACCATGAGATTCAGTTTCCACATTGAAAGGTGTATATGAACTCGGACGGGAGTCCATAACTAGAGGTATACATGTCACTGTGCGAACGATGTCTATACAGGTTAAGTTATTTTTAAAACCACAGTTCGCAACGAATTTGTAGGATTCTTTTTGGTTTCTGTATGAATTTCGTGGACTGTGATGTCGATATTTTCCTTGCATAGTTCAACCGAAACCATGAAGTAAAGTTGAGAGAAGTCTGGAGACTGAGGTATTTTCGTTTCTCCTAAATGACGCACTAGGTGAAAAGAAATATGGCGGACCAGGTGTGCTTCGGTTGTAGTCTCTTTGGCCTTTTTAAAACGTAGTTCTTCACGTGGAAAAATACTTACAAGCGTGATGTATCCAAGAGTGAAGAGATCACTCTCTGATACTGGCAGTCCTTCGGCAAAAAGAACTTTATTTCGATCGTTTTCCGTGTCAGATGCCGCTGGTAATGGCACACAGCGTGAAACTAACGGGAATTCAAAACACCACCACCACGGCCACCAGACAAGCCACAGTCCCGCAAGAAAGCAGCGCTTTCATTTGCCGATCTACACCGGACGCAATGCAATAATTGCTGAGGTACGGAGGAAGGAAAATGTGATTATTGTTGGAGAAACGGGCAGCGGGAAGACAACTCAAATCCCTCAATATCTTCACGAGGTGCGTTTGACGAAACTCGGAGCCATCGCATGCACGCAACCCCGACGTGTTGCGGCGATCAGCATCGCACAGAGGGTCGCTAAGGAGATGAGCGTTCAGCTGGGAGAAGAAGTAGGCTACACGGTGCGGTTCGAGGATGTGACTTCCGCGAAAACTCGCGTTAAATACATGACTGACGGAATGCTACTGAGAGAAGCTGTGAGCGATCCTATGCTTCAGCGATACTCTGTTGTCATTTTAGACGAAGCACATGAGCGAACTGTGCATACTGACGTCCTTTTTGGTGTTGTGAAATCAGCTCAGAAGACAAGGAGAGAGAAAAATCTGAAACCTCTTAAGATCGTTGTCATGTCTGCCACGTTAGAAGCAGAACATTTCTCGCGTTATTTTAGCAGTGCTCAAGTGTTGTACATTGAAGGCCGACAGCATCCCGTGCAGGTGATGTATGCAGTTGAGCAACAAAAGGATTATGTTCATGCTGCACTTGTGACGGTCATGCAACTCCACCAAGAAATGCCACCTGGGTAAATATTAGCATAAAATACTTAGAACTCCAGGATCATGTGTACTAAAGGCATCCACAGTTGAGTGTTGATTGATGCCCTCAATTGATATCTCGCTGGACACTTGATTGACATATCGATTGACGTCTACACTAGATTGACACTCATTCTACATCTCAATCGACACTCGATCGGCAATAAGTCGATCGTTGGCAGAGTGTCAATGGACTAATATTAATTTTATCGATCGACACTTGATGACATGTCTGCAAAAATTAGCAGACTCTCAACTGACTGTAGACCGAGATGTTGAGCGGGTGTTGACTGAGTATCGCTGGAGGTGTCTATCGAGTTTGATTGAGATGTCAATCAAGGGTATCATCTGTGGTGGACACTTGACCACAGATGTCTTTAGCACTTGTCATCCAAACTGCATAGGCGCCACTGGATTCCTGTTACATAACATAAACAAACACTTCTCTTCACATGATTAATGCTTCCCCTGCTCAAGAATAATCTGAGAAAATTCCATACACATGCCTGATGGCATTCAGGTTAACAGCTTTACAGAGGTTCATCAAATGTTTCTGTACACAAAAGATCAAAATATTTGAGCAAAAACCTAGAGTCTGTTGAGCTACAACATCTGAATGGAATAGGAAATATTCTGCTAATGCTGTGCTTGCAAGTAAAGGCTGGGCAGTGGGGCATTGACATGGGGATCAGAACCTCCTCTTTTCATTCCCTTCTCTCCTGCTTCTCTTGTCTTTGTCTCTTGACTCCTACTTCTTTCGTGGTGCTCCCATCCCTAGGTAAACTAGGAGGCTTCAAGCCTCAGCTGATTGTTAACATTTCATGACCTACTGACATAGCCACTATGAAAGAGTATACAATTTCACCAGCAAGAGTTTTGCTTGCTTGATTATATAGTGCAAGTCAAATACCATCGTTTATCTATGGCATCATCGGGGAGCCGGGGGGATGCCACATTCCCTGATAATGCCGCAGATTGGCAAAAGCTTGGAATAAAAAGAAATACAGTAGCTCAACACCTTAATCAAATCATCCATTTAATCACCCAACATGATTCTGAGGGACAACTTCAAACGTTTACTAACCTGTTTTGATTCTGTATAGTGGTGACATTCTTGTTTTCCTGACTGGGCAGGATGAAATTGAATCTTTAGCAAAGCTGGTAACAGACTGTGCACAACACTGTGGGCCAGGTCAGTCAGTCCCTAAAGTCTGTATGATATAAATTCTTATTACTGCCTTCACCTTCACCTTCACCTTCAGCCATCCCATTAATGCTAAGTGGCACATAAGCCCTGATTACTGCCTTTAATACATTTAATTTATTACCTATGGAGAGTAAATTTATTTACCAACTAATACTAATCACATCCTAATGAAAGCCTTGCTTCCACAGCATACCAGGCTCCTTTGGTCTCACCATGGGTATTTTGGCTCAACTACAGTGCACATGTACATGTACATCTTGCCAAAATACAAACTATGGCTCAACCAAACTCGTTTGATGTGCCGTCAAAGCATACCAATAAGGTAGATTTAAATAAGTATAAATACAATTGTGTCTGTCAAGAGAAATGATAACATTGTTCTTTTCTGTGAACAGAATGCCCTGAACTTTTGGTGTGCCCCATGTTTGCTGCTCTACCATCACAGCATCAAATGAAAGTGTTCATTTCTGCTCCTCTTGGGAAAAGGAAAGTTATTCTGGCAACAAACATTGCAGAAACATCAATTACAATCCCAGGAGTGAAATATGTTGTGGATACAGGATTTGTAAAGGGGAAAGGTAGGTTGAACACATTACAATATTGCAGTAAGGACACTCAACTTTAAACACTTGACATTTGTTTGTGTTTTTTTTCGGTGACTATAGAATGGAGGTTTTCCAGTTAATGTAAAAGGTTAGCACTTTACAGTGCAAAAGCACTAGCTACTCTTGTACGTCGTTGATGTAAAAAGCCCTCATTCTGCATGTATATTCACTAGAAATTGTACAAAAAACGCCGAGTGTTCACCGTTAGCATGACCTTAATATGATTTCCAGCTCGTACTGCGCACTCTCAAGAATTGTTTGCATTTTTTTTGTTTCATGCACAATGGCACAAAATGTAAACATTTCACAACTACATACATGAAGTAAATTCAAAGTTTCATGTCAACCACCATTATGGATGGGAAGCAACGGGAAGCTCTATGTTTCATTCTTTCTCTTGCCACTTGATGAAACAACTTTGCAGCGGTAAAAACCAATGAAGTAGTTGGAAAAAGAATTTGGAAGGCCCCAAAGATAAGGTATGTGGTTTGTAACAAATAACATTGATTCGCATTCTATCGAGTGAGGGTGTTTTTTTTTTTTGCTTAACAGTAGGGTGCTGAGACTGCACAGTACGGACTGGAAATCATCTTTAATATAACATAGAATGATATATTTTCTTTTAATTTTTCATAGAACACACAGGTAGGCTGCCTAGATGTGTGTAGGCTGCCTGTTTGTTTCATGTACTTAAGTAGTACTGAAAGAATTGTCAGTAGTGACTTAATAGTTAGTGTGCTAGACTCTAGGTCAAGTTGTCTCTGTCCAAGCCCTGACCAGGGTCATTGCGTTGTGTTCTTGTGCAGACGTTACTCTCATAGTACATGTACCTTTCTCCACCCAGTTGAGTAATTTAATTTGTACTCGCAAATTAAAATAATTCTGACCTTAACCATTGGATTGACTAGTATAATCCTATCAAAGGAGGAGGAGGAGAAATACCAGTCATTTCATGCTTTTCAAACTAGAGATTTAATGGCACTGAGTTGATAGGTTACGGTCCAAACTGGCTCGGGTTGTTCGAAAGGTGGATAATGCTATCCACCAGATAAATCACTATCCAGTGGATAGCCCTGTTTGTTTTGTTAATGTTTATCCACTTGATAGCAATTTATCCAGTGGATAGCGTTATCCATCCTTCAAACAACTGGGGCCTGAAGGTTAGACTACTTGTTTCAGGTTTCCCTGGTTGATTGATAAATAAATTGTCTTTTCGCCAGCTTTTCATCCTAAAACTGGTCTTGACATACTGAAAGTACAACCAGTTTCAAAGGCACAGGCAAGGCAGCGCTTAGGACGAGCAGGACGTGAAACTAGTGGAGTGTGTTATCGTCTTTACACGGAGGAACAATTTGATGAACTAAAGGAGATGACTACTCCAGAAATCCAGCGGTGCAACTTAGCTAGTGTTGTTCTGCAGCTCATGGCTCTTGGCATTTCTGATGTGCTTCATTTTGACTTCCTTGATCGCCCACCACAAGATGCTCTAGAAAATGCACTAGAACAGTTGGTGGTGCTTGGTGCAGTACGAAGAGGGAACAGTGGTTACGAGGTATGAATTAGTTCCAATACAAAGCACCTTACATTGTGCACTTAGAACAGTTTAAACTTGACTGTTGAATATAAATTGCACTTCCTTTGGTTTTGCATTAGAATATATATGCTATTTGATTGGCTCAAAATACTCGGCATACGCTTAACTTACATGTACATGATCAAATCAGAAGTAACACCAAAACCAATTGTGACTCACTCACACACGTTTGCCCACACTTCACATCAGGTACATATAGTTACTTTGAATTTTGATTAGTTTACTTGATCGTCTGTGTCCCTTATTATTGGCCAACATGTTTACTTTGGTTCTAGTGTGGCTACACTCAATTGAAAACTGCTCTTGATAAGAGTATTTAATTTATTGAACTCTAAAGATCTACAGCCCAAATCTGGGCCCAACTGTCTCTCCTAATTGATTTATTTTCATTTTAGCTGATGCCCCTAGGCCGTCAAATGGCTGATTTTCCATTGGAGCCCAGACTGGCCAAAGTGATCTTGGCATCTCGAGAATTTAACTGCAGTGAGGAGATAATTACCATTGTGGCCCTTTTGTCTGTGGACTCACTCACATACACCCCACAGAGTAAACGTGATCATGCCATAGCAGTGCGCAAGAAGTTCATTTCATCAGAAGGTGATCAGATGACTCTTCTGAATATTTACCGAGCCTACAAAGCCGTCAATGGCAACAAGGAATGGTGCCATCAGCACTTCATTAACTCACAGACTGTTAAAAGAGTCATGGATATAAGGAAGCAACTAAGAGATATATGCACAAGACTGGAATTTCCTTTGAATTCTTGTGGCAAGGACACTGTAAATATCCGTCGTTGTCTTGCCATGGGACTTTTCATGAATGCTGCTGAGCTTCAGCTTGATGGAACATACCAGACTGTGACACATCGGCAGCCAGTCGCCATTCATCCTACATCAGCCTTGTTCAGTTGTAAGCCACAGTATCTTGTTTACAATGAACTTATTCAAACTTCGAAGTGCTACATGCGCGATGTGTGTGTCGTCGATCCCTCTTGGCTTCGTGAGGCTGCACCAAACTATTTTAAAGAACACAGACTTCATTCCCTGCCGACATCAGTTCATTCTTATTAATCAAAACAAAGTTGAAGTTTTAAACAGAACAAAGATATCAATTCAAAGTTGAAGTTTTAATGCATTAAGGAGAACATTGACTGCATCCTTCTATTGCTGAAATGAAATTTGTTTGTACTGACCATACACCACTGAGCCAAAAATGTTACCTGTCTGAGTTTGATGTTAATAGACTGAAATATAATAGTCATTACAATATTTATATGCTATAACCCCACAGGGATGGCAGTCATTGGGGTGCTTGCACTTGCATTGACCAAGGTGTCTTGGTTGCCACTTACACATGTATGGAGTTTTCAAATTGAAACTCTCGCATGTTTTGTCATGACTGAATTTTTTCAACTACCTTAGCAGGACCATAGCCAGAAAAAAATTATGATGCCCGTGGTTAAATTCTCTTTAGCATTGTTTAACCTTCTCCTTCCACAAAAATAAGAATGAAAAAATGACTGACGCAAGTGCCTCGGTTTGCCCTCATACTGGCTATAGCCTTGTTTGGTGTTTAGTACTAACTATGCTACTGTCTATAAAGTTGATTTACGAAGCTAAATCAGACACAAGAAGCACCTTTACACCTGTACATTAGACATGGACATAAAGTAAAAGTCTGGTACCTTTAATTTAGTTCTATTTTTTTTCAGTTTCCGAATGCTACGAACAAATATTCTATCACTTTTATTTTGAAGCTCCCCTTGGAGTGTACATGTAATTTAAAGAGACCTAAAGTCAGTGCTATTATAATTAAAAATGTAGTTGTTTATTATTAACGACAACAGTTGAATTTTTGTAACTGGGAATAGTTTTATTGTCAGTCCTTGTCACTCCCAAAGTTGATGGATATGACCACATATTTGCACATTGAAGATTATACATGTTTCATTGTGAATACTGTAATAATTAAAAACTTGATTTTCAGAAAACAAGTGTAGTCAAGAGGTTTTCTGGTTTGCATCAGGGAGTGCGTTTTAAACTATAGCGAGAATTAGTTGAATAATAATAAATTGATTTTGTGATGGAATGTGAAGAAATCAAAATAGCCACTCTGGGGAAATTTTGAATCTTTTATTCTTTACTTTTTTTCTTTTAGCTAAATATCTCTTTGCCTTCACCAATTTTGGTATGTTTCATTGTTCTATTACAAGTTATACAAAACGATGGATCAGCCAAGACACTGTCTCTTCAGTCCAAAACCTTGATTTTGTTAAGGGATGGGTGGGGCAGAAGATCAAAGTCTTTATTCCCTCTCATGGACTTTCTAAAAAAATAGTAAAGACAGATAAAACAAGAGCAAAAGTTGACAAAATTTTGAAGTCGTTGACCATCAGTGTCAGGCACCCTCATGAAGTTTGAACTTGTTTGGGTGCTGCTTGTTTGGGAGGGAAAGAAGTCAAAAAGATCTCCAATCATCTCTACTAGGTTAACAGAGCTGCACCAACGATAAACTAAGTTGAATGTCTTAAACCAACTCTTGTCATCTTTTAATACTATACAAATCCCCAGGGGAGGGGGACTCCCATATAAAAAAGATGGGGGTACTCATCAAACCTTTTAGGGATTAAAAAGCTGTTTTGGTTCATCTCAAGGTGTTCAGCCTCAAAAGCACCACAGCGGGAGATTTTGTGGAACCTCTTGGGGTATAGAGCCCAAAAGATATGACGGGAAATTGGGTTTTGTTTTAGAATTGGTACCTCGTAAGGGTGAAAAATTTCAAGCCACACCCACCAACCAGGATCTTGGTAGCTCTTAGGGTTTTTTTTCAAAATTTCTGACCAGCACCCCCATCCTTTTTGTATGGGAGTCCCCCACAGGTACAAGTCACCCAATGATACTGTACAAATCACCCACTGATGTTGTATAGATCACCTACTGATAC